GAGATGGAGAAGGCTGCGGCTATCGGTAATAGTCGTTAAATTAGGAGTACAGGACCAAGGAAAGCAGGCGTGTGTGAGATAATTAAGGAGTCTGACGGCAGACTGATTCAAATTCAGGAACGTCGTCTTGGACGTTGGGCAAAACATTTTAAGGCACAGTTCAGCTGGTCCCCTTCGACACAAGACCTCCTCCCACCCGGTTCAACTGTGCAACTATTACCAGTTGACATCAGTACTCCATATGAAATAGAGGTTACCCGGAAATAAGTTATCTCAAACGGGCTGTCCCCATCGGCTTTTAAGGATGGAGGTCCAGCCTTAGTTGTGGAGTTAACAAAACTCCTGGGTTCAGTGTGAGAGAGGGAAGAGCTTCCAACCAAATGATGTGAATCGGTGATCATACCGATTTACAGAAGGGCGACAGGTCCTCCTGTGAAAACCACAGAGGAATTAGTTTAATCAACATTGCATCTAAACTTCTCGCTGGTATCATACTCCGTCGATTGCTTGCCACACGTGAACGGTGTACGCGTGAGAACCAGGCTGATTTTAGATCTGATCGAGGTTGTATTGCCCACATCTTCACACTTCGTCAAATTCTATAACATAGACACTCCTTTCGTAGACCCACCATTTCTATCTTCCTCGATCTAAAAGTGGCTTTCGACTCAGTCGACCGCTCTAAACTCTNCGAAGAGAGTGCCCGAGAAGTTAATCGCAATATTACAATCGCTCTATACTAATCGCCGAAGCCGAGTCCGAGCCTACGACACTTTTTCATCCGAGTTCACCACGGAAAGTGGTGTTCGACAGGGTTGCTCTCTCTCTCTGTTTTTATGTAACTTCGTGATAGGTTCAATTCTTCTTGCGAGAATAGCGGTATCGATTTACTTTCAGATGACAGACTGTCTGATATAGAGTATGCAGACGACATTGTGCTGCTAAGTGAAGATGCAAGTAAGTTGCAAGCTTTTCTGGATAGCTTGAGTGACAGCGTAGTCATGTTCGGTATGCATTTTGCACCTTCAAAGTGTAAAATGTTACTACAAGACTGGGTTTGTCCAGCACACAAACTCACTGTAACTGGGGACGTAGTAGAGCAGGTGGATAAGTTTTGTCATTTGGGCAGCTACATCTCACCCGGTGGACGCATCACGGATGAAGTGTCGGCGCGGATACAAAAGGCTCGGTTAGCGTTTGCCAACTTGAGACATTTGTGGCGCCGTCGCGACATCCGGCTGTTTGTTAAGCGTCGAATGTATGCTGCAGTAGTTCGGTCAGTCCTGCTCTACGGTTCAGACTTGGCCTTTATGGGAACAGGATAAAAATAGATAATCGGTGTTGGAGCACCGCTGTGTACGTCGCATTGCACGAGTCTGGTGGGGAAACCGGACGAGGAGTGCTGAGGTTAAGTGTAGAGTTTTAGGTAATTGCAGTCGTCCACTGGAGCAGTTAGTCGACCTCCATATATTACGCTAGTTGGGACACGTGCTACGCATGTCACCGGATAGGTTGCCACGGTGAGCGATATTTGCCGAGGCAGGTAGCGGTTGAAAAAAAATCAAGGGCATTCAAACTAAGACCTGTTATGAGGGTATGAAAACCCTAACCAGGACACTGGCTCACATAGGTCCCGCTAGGCTCCCTGGTTGGGGACCACGGAATGATCGTAATCGATGGTTAGAGACGGTGAGTGATATGGTTGGGTGTCGCAAACAGTGGCGCCCGTGCATCGACTCATTATTCCCATATCACTGTTCTATATGATTTCTCCATCTTCCACTTGAATTGGCTTTCAATATTCCAATCTTCATTCTGCTCTTGTATACAAATGGGGCACCAAAAAACAGCAACCTAAACCGGCGGACGAAGGTGCATGGTTAATGGTTGTAACAACTAAACAGAACTGATCTGAAAATGCGCGTGCGGTTCATTTAGCGTGACCAATCGTCAAACAAGACAAATATCTCTTTATTGTTGATGTTTGAATTCTCTAATTTATTCCAATTGATCACATCATCTCTTTTAGCCTGCTGATGACGAAATCATGCGACTGTACGAGGCGATTGATATAGACGAGCGTACAACATCAGATAATTTACCCACCGCTGCCCAACTGACCGCGTTGGGTGCGCAGAGTCAAGATGAGGAAGAAGAGGACGAGTACATCGCAATGCTGAATAGCCGAGTTTCTGGAAAAACAATGAGCTCTCTGGGAAGCATCAAACGGACTTTTGTTGCGCACGTGCCTGTCTACACCCAGCAGCAGGTAAGCACCGCAATGTCCTGTCATTGTGTATTTCTAGCTATTCGTTTGCCTACTAATGAGTAGTACAAAATGAATTGGCAACCGTCACGGACGTTGATTTCGCATGTGATTTTTTCCTTCTTCTCCGTTTCACCCAGGTTGAGGCGTCCTTGCTTGCACAGAAGAAGCGTGAGATCTTGGAAAAATACATGTCTGAGGAATTGATCGCCAGCATGACGCAGACCGGGGAAATTCTCGGAATGGAGGATGGTAATTCCACGGATCTATCGACATCTACACTAGCCGCACAAATCGTCGAAGGCGAAGCAGAAGTGGAAGACGAAGAGGAAGAAAATCATTAGTTCGAACAGACCATCAGTTCGTTGGTTTTCTCCATGCCTCTGTAAAAATTTGTACAATGAACTACTTTTTTACCCTCCGCTTTTGATTCTCGTTCTCTCCCATCCCAGTGGGGTTAGACTCCAATTTCGTTAGATGATCGAGTGGGAACGGCTCCAATTTTCATGCGTACTCTTATGGAAACAGAGAAGATATTATCTTACGAGGAATTTTTCAGACGCATATTAATCAAATGCGAGCACATTTAATGTGAAGTTATATGAATAAAAAGGTTGCGGTTACATTCTTTGAAATTTGTGAGAGACTTATTCTCAATCTTGCCTCGCCCCAAAGAATTTTGGATTGAAAGGTTAGAGTGAACCAAAGGAGTGAGTATTGCAAGATGGCATTAAACTGGCAATTATGTATGAGAATCCCTCTGCTCAATTTATCATTCAACATTTGTTGTGTTCTACCTTTGACTTGTTATCAAAACGAGAATCGTTTTTGGGCTCCATCGGAAGAAAAGATACAATGGGTACGCAATAGATGGACTTATACTACCAAGAATGAATGCACGCTCATACTGAGAACAGTAAGGTTGTGCTGTTAGTTGAGCGATTCGTGTGGCTTTCATTGACGTGCATCAGAGTGTGGTGGTAATGCAGTGAATGCATTGAATTAGTGGCTGTCACTGGCTTGCTTTGGGCCCGGTGGTCTGAAGTTCGAATCCCGCCATCCAAATTTGGTGGTAGAGAGCTTTGCTGTCGGCCGGTTCAATACAACGCCTAACCTAGCTGGACCTTATGTTGTTCGGTACTCCAAGTCTCGGGGCATAGCTTATTGATTTCCATCATTGAAGAACAGGTATGCGTGACTACGTGGTCCACCCTGTCTGCTGTTCATCACAAATGTGCATAGAAAAAATTCAGGCTTTGAACCCCAGGGTTAGAACCCCGTCAATACTAGCCAACTTCTTTGGTAGTCCAATTTCCAGTCATTCGGTTCGACATCATATTTGTATGAGTATTTGTGTTTCTATGTGCAAACGATCGTTCAACATGTGGTTGAGGTGATTGAAAATTGTTGTTCGACCTTTGAATTGCATTCTGTGAGTTGATCACGTGAATTTGGTGATGAGGTTATTGTGTTCACAAGTGACATTAGCTAACAAAATTGTTGGACGGATGCCCCGTTGGATTGATTGGTCCTCGAAGGTTCATCGGTGATCAAAACAGCTTCATCTATCAGTCGTTCCTTAAGAATCCTGAACCTTCGTTTTGGAATAGCTAGGCCATCGAAGTGAACCGCATTTTCTTCTCATATTGGATGAGGTGCGATTACGGAATCGTTTTCCGCTTTTTAAACAACCTGCCATGTTTTTGAGGATCTTTGTCGGGCTCATCCGTTCAGGTGATCGTTTGTTTTGTCTGTGAGCATAGATATTTTTGAACGCGGTTTGCAATCTGTGCTATGCCTCCGAACGGTACGTAGTCGTAGCGTTTAATTAGCGGTCATTTTTCTCATTAAATACTGTTTGGATTAGATTTCCATGCCTGATTTTCTCGACCAAGTCTGTTGGATATTTGTTCTCCCGTAATTCTTGGCTAACCCACTCCATCCCTTAAAGTTTATCCTTCCTACTCGTTTAAGTGCTTTGTGAAACGATCATCGGTATTTTGATGTTGCTTAATTGGTTAAAAGAATAAGTGAGATATCGTCATGTTCATTCTTCTCGCTCACGGTCACTCATACTTTAACCGGGCCTGATTGTTTTCCCCAAAATCGACAAAATTTAGGTCGTTTTCAATGTGAACTTCTGCTTTTTTAATGGCAACAAAAATTGCAAACAAATTCTTAGTCTCTGGGTGTTGGGACGAAGATCATTGCTATTCGTCCCAAGATAAGCCCGGCTGCATATTTACTAATTCTTTGAAAAAAGCGAACAAATTTACAACACATTTGACCCTAATTAGGGTCATCTTGGATCAATACCAATCTCGTGGAGATTAATCAATAATATTACGTCGCACGGCAATATTCACTCTGTCCGTCTATCTGATCAAGATACAATATTCCGACTCACTAGGCATTCATCCCGTTCGTTAATTAATGTATTGTGTTTCTTAACCGGATGGAATGAATCTCTTGTACTATGTTCATTGCACTACGGCAGTGGTCGTCATAGAGTGTGTGTGGGAAATATCGCTAGCTTGTAATTAGAAGTAGTTATGTAGCGAACTATGCGTGTATGGACATCGTCTGTCTATGAATTTGAATAGGGGTATTTCGGGAAAACGCGCAAGATGCATGTTTGTGTTAAGGTTGGAGCTAACAAAAACATGCGACTTGTCTACATCGCATTGCACGAGTCTGGTGGGGAAACCGGACGAGCAACGCTGAGGTTAGGCGTAGAGTTTCAGTTTTAATCGCAGTCGTCCACCGGAGCAGGTAGTCGACCTCCATATATTACGCTAGTTTGGACATGTGCTACTGTAATAATTCTATTAGCTGTAGTAGTACGCACGGAATTCGGAACACCAACCACACAATATGAATTATAGGACCAGAATCGATAATCAGCTATCACAGACTGGATCGCAGAAGCACTGGAACACAATGGCACGGATTCGCAATGTCCCACGAGAACGAGACGCGAGTAAAAGGCCACAGGACAGGCAGTGAGTAGTTCGTTTATTGGAAGAGATGAAGGTGATTAAATAATATGTACATAGGGAGATGATTGGCTACTTGGGCTTCCACCAATTGAATTGCAGTACTGCCTGCATAATCTTGCTTCTGTCTGCACTGTCTTGGATTGGCTGGCACCATCCACCAATGACGTGTATTCAGAAGCCATGCACGTGCCATTGATGTCAGCATTCAAACTTGAATGATCGCCAATGTCCTGAAACTGTAACGCGCCGCTCCAGGGTAGGCGTGATCACGTAGGCCTGGACCACCACAGCTACGCATGTCACCAGATAGGTTGCCACGGCTGGCGATATTTGCCGAGGCAGGTAGCGGTTGAAAAAAATCAAAGGCGGTCAAACTAGGACCTGGTATGAGGGTATGAAAACCCTGATCATTTGACTGGCTCACATAGGTCCCGCTAGGCTACCTGGCTGGGGACCTCGAGATCATGATCACCGATGTGTTGAGACACTGAGCGATATGCCTGGGTGTCGCAAACAGTGTTGCTCATGCATCTACTCATTATTCTTGTAACATCAGTCTATATAAATCCGCTTGAGTTCGCTATCAACATTGCAATCCTCATTCTGCTATTTTACCCAAATGAGTAACAAAAACCGACGCACGAAAGTGCATGGTTAATAGTTGTAAAAACTGAAATGAACTTAAGGTTGGAACTGTTTGAACTTAATAGACGTTGGCATTGACGCACAAATTAGATTGGTTTATGTGTGGTTCAACATTGTGGTTTTGTACAGTTTTCCCTCTTAATCTGCTCGTTGCATAGATTACGAATGACCGTTCATTCGTTGCTCCCTTACCTGTCTGCGGCTCCCAATTTCTTAGCATGCATGTAATCTAATTTCGTTGATTTGGTTTTCTTCTAATTTATCCGTTCCGATAGACTTCACGAAAGGCATTTGTCTGTTTGAAGTTTACCCTTACATTAAGAAGGATTAACTAACTGTATTTCAGCTAGTTTCTGATTGGATAACTGTTTTTACTAGAGGGTCCAATGTACGCATACCTAGACTGCGGTCAGTCGACATTATACCAACTCTTACAGTTAGACCAACAAAACATGTCAACAGATTTCGGGATCAGTTCAGGCTAGTGCTAAGAAAACAGAACACCCAGCCCCACGCATGGACTATGCGTCTGCGTGGAATTCGCGTGGAAAAAAACAAGGATATCTTCATGTATTCAATATCGTTTGTGCCATTTTTATACCGTACCAGAAAATCATTATCAGTAGAGAAGTACGAACTTACCGCACACAACCATGAACCATGAATCTTACTCTTACGACTATGTATTCTGACGCTTCT